TTCCCCCCCCCCCCCCGTCTTTTTCCACACATCATGTAATTTTTTTTGGTCTTTGACTCAAGCCATTTTATACAGCAATAAGGGCAGGAGAGGGCAAAGGCTTTATCTGCTGCTCCGCTCACCTGCGCTGCCAGCGCAGGAGCCGAGGTGCTGCCGATGGTCCAGCGCAGGCAGGGAGATGCTCTCCGGGGCCAAGGGCACCGTGTCCGTCTGTCCCCCCCCTTCCCCGCCGGGGTGGGCTCCCTGCGCTGCAGCGGGGGACAAGTTCCCCGTGTCGGCTGGGGACAGCCCTGAGCTTTGCTGTCCGCAGGGCCACAGGGCCAGGGCTGGCTCCCCACACGCAGCCGTGGGAGGTCAGGCAGAGCCCTCCCGGGGGCACAGGGAGCCGCCGGTCCCCCCCCCGCCCTCCCACACCAGCCATACCCTCTCCCGGACGCGAGGAGCGGAGGATGCGGGAGAGATTTCTGGGGCGAGGGCCAGGGAAAAGGGAACGCTGGGAAACTGGGGCACGCAGGCCCTCGGAAACCCAGCGAGACCAGCACCACCGCGGCCATGCCCCGGAGCGGGAGCAGCAGCACGTTAAACGATGGCAGGAGAAAAGACCCCGGGCCCGGCTGGGGGATACCAGGTAACCCAAAACACCCACCCCCTGCCTCGGCTTGGCACCCAGCCCTCGGGGCTCTGCGGAGCCCAAAGCTCACCCCAGGCCCGGCTGCCCTGCCTGCCCGCACCCCGAGATCAGGCAGGGCTGCGGGCAGAGGCGCGCAACGCTCTCCCTTTCTCCGTTTCATTTAGATTCTCTGCTTGGGTTTGGCTGGTCGGGGCCAGCTCTCGCCTCTGCCACTGTTGAACACACGCTGGTCTTAAAGGGAGTTTCTTTTATTCCATTTCCCTCCTGAGAGTAACAGTCCTGGTACCATCTATTCCTGCATCGCTTGCCGGAGGAGAGGGCAGGGTCCCGCTGCTGCCAGGACCCCGCAAGTCCAGGGCATTTTTTAAACATTTCTCTATACAAAGTATTTCTACAAGCGGCCGCCTGTCCGGTATCTCACTCTTCCGGGCAGTTGCTGTACAAAGGAGGGAAGAGTTCGGTTGTTTTGGTTTTGTTTTGTGTTTTGGTGGTTTTTTTTTTTTTTTCCCCTTGCTGTGTTTTATTTCTTTGGAAATTAAAAGAAATGAAGGGGGTTATTTATTTCTTTTTAATTTATTTTGTCATATTTTTGTAAAACCTGCAGAAATGCAATAAAAAAAAAAATATATTTCAACAAGCCTGAGGCGTGGGCTAAATCATTGCCCGCAGCAGCTTGCACAGCGCATCTGCTCGGGGGACAAGTCTCAGGTCTCCCGTCCCTGGGGAAGGTGGAAGGGGACGTTAGGGACGCTGTCACCCTTCACAGTCCTCTAACGCGGGGCAAAGCTCTGAGACAGCGACACAAGGACAAGCCCCACCGGCGGGGTTCGATGCCAAGCGCCCTCCGGCAGCCACACCGCAGCTCTCGCGCGTATTGTCAGGTAGAGGAAGAATGACGAAGGTTATAATCCTCTAAATTCTGCAAATTTATTATACACAGTATCAAACATGGAATAGTTTAAAAATAAATGCAAAAAAATCCAACGGCCGTGACATTCGACTAACAGTGTATTTACAGTCACTCCACGAGGGCAGCCCCTCTGCCAACATGCAGCTTTCAGGAAAAACCACCATCTCCCAGCCCCACGAGACAATATTTTTGCAAAAGAGGAAAATTCAAGTTGCAAAGACAGGTTGGAAGTAACACAGACTCACAAGCTCGACGCCGCGTTGCAAAAACCAGCCAGGGATGGCGTGTGCCGAACGGACCGGAGGAGTTAAAAGAAGTTGCGGACGACAGAAAGCTCTGAGGCGCTCTCAGACGCTCAGCCGCGATGTGCGACTGGCCAAGGCCGGGCTGGTTTAACTAAAAATACCCAATAAAGCCCGTTAATGGCACACTGTGCGCTGATTAATAAGAAATGAATGCGTTTGGAAATCGGCACGACTGTAGCAGAGACAACGCGGTGACTCAGCTCCGACCATCCATTCAGATGTCATGCTATTTCTTACAGTAAGCCATTAGTCACCCCGTGTCCCTGCAGCCCCGAGAGCCATCGTTCAGGACAGCTAGTCCTGCTCTCCACCAGCTCACGCCGCCGCCTCGATGCTCCCCAGCCCCTCACCCCTTTTCACACTCACACACGTGCTGCTTAATCAATGCAGGGGAGAGTGTTTGACCTGTTATTAAAAAAAAAAAAATAAAAGCACCGTGTGTGTTTAACAGCAACATCCCAGGGATTACAGCACCGCGGTCCGCTGAAGAGCGAACGGGGCCGAGTCGCCCTGGGGATGTTTACAGAGCTGGTAGCAACGAGGCAAAGTGAAACGTTACTGCTGGTCGCTAGCCAAATGAAGTTTGCTTCGGTCACGAAGGCGAGGAAATTAAAAAGCAGAGTTATAGCACAAAGAGCACAAATTACCATCCTCATCGTGCACGAGGCAGCTGTAGGGCAGCTTCGCCTTCCCACAGGGCTGGCGAGCTGAGGAGCGCGGCCGCCTCTCGCCTCCGAACGCTGCCGAGGAGTCGGTTAGGGGAAGGAGCGCGAGAGCAGGTGAGGACCTGTGGAAAACCTCGTCTGCGACCGCAGCGTTTGCGGCAGCAAATGCCGGTCCACAGGCGTGCCCGCTCACCCTGGGTCACCCGACTGATTCAGCCAGCCACCTCCCATATGAAAAAAAGTCCTGAGTTGAAATAGGGTCACGTTTTAACGGCGCTGCCCTTCGATCTCGCCAGCCGAATACTTACTTTCAGGTTTACATCAGCAAAACTTGGAACTCTACCACAAAGGTTAAAGCCACCCAGACTCCTCAAAAGGCATTAAGACCGCCAATAAGACTTTATTTTTTTTCTCCAATTCCTAGAACAACACAATCCTGAAAAATCCCACACGTAGGGAGCCTTAGTTCTTCGTATTTGGGGACACGCTAGGTGAGTTTTGCCTTTAAAAACAGAATCTCATTGTTAAAGAGAATTTGAAAGCTGGTATCTCATTCCCTTGTTTCAGTTACAAAGATGTTCTTCCCTGCAGGGCAGGTTCAGCCCTTTCAATATCTAGAAGATGTTTTTCTTCCCCAGTGGTTAAAAAAAGATGAGGTTCTAGCAGTCCTGTCTCCTCCCCGACATTAAACTCTCAAGATGACACACATCTTTTATATGAAATATAACTCAGCTGCCAGCGCACGCGTTTCAGGACGAGCTCTGCAAGCCGATGCTGTGACAGCAAGTCATTTAGTGTCGGCTGGACACAACCATTAGACCCGTAAGTAAGCTGTCAGCTGGCATAGCCAGTCCACCTGGATAGCCTGCTGACTCAGCCTTTTCGGGTGATTACTAGCGGCAAACATCCCAGATCAACTGCTAGACGAGACCCCGGGGCTGCACGCCCCGCTGTCAGGGCGCAGATGTTGTGAACCAGCAGCAGAGAAACCCGAAAGCGCAGTCAAGCACGGCACGAAGGTCAGGCTGTCCTTAACCAAAGCCGTGATGCAATACCCCCTTCTGGGCACGGCGGCCAGCACATCCTCTGCACTGCTCCCAGGAACACCCTTAGCTGCTCCCAGGTAAATGCAACCCTCTCTTCTTTAAAGAAAAGGATTTCCCACTCTCTGTTACACGTCAAAAAATGTAAGACAAAACCCGACACGGAGAGAGATCAGCTGGAACCCCTCCGGTCACGGTCAGTGTGCCACACAATTCCTCTGCTGCCAGGCTGATGTCATTAACCCAGGAAAACAAATTAGTTTTCCCATTACAGATATACAGGTCTTTTTTAAAATCTTAAAAACAAAAAATGAAGCTAGTGGTATACAAACAAGCCAGGAAACGGTAAGTGGTAACGTAGCCGATAGCTGCAGCGTTAGAAAAAAAATCCAAGACTCCTGCTTAGTCTTTGCCCTTAAGGCCAGTGTCAAGGAGCTCACCAAAAAAATAAAGCTTTGAAGTCACACCCGTTATAACTACCTCGTACAGAGTGGAAATTTTAAGATTAATGTCCAGCATGTTCAAAATTTGCCTCACAGGAAACAGTCCAAACGCCAACAACTGAACTGCTGCATAAGGCACGCACTGGAGAGGGAAGGAAACCCATCTTCCAGCCGATCCGACTCCAAAGCCAACTTCACAGCCTCCCCCCCCACAGAGCTGTCGGTACAACCCCCAACAACTGCGCGCACGTGGAGTTTACTAACAGCTCGGCACATTTACCAGGATGACAGAAAACAGCGTTGGGCTTAAGCGTGTCCTTCGGATTCATCACAGCCCGGCTCAGCAACCAGCTCCCAACAGCCATCGGGCCGTGCATCCCAGCCACCCAAACCAGCACGCTGCTGCTGCTTCATGTCCTGCCAAGGCTAAGAAAACAAGTAGTTTTTTTTTTTTTTTTAAAAAATCACATCTAAACATATCTAAATGATTTTTTTTTTTTTTTTTTAAAATCACATCTAAACATATCTAAATGATTCTAAAAGCCTGTCCTCTTACAGTGAAATGCATCTAAATGCATCCTCTTAGTGAAATACATCTAAAAAAACTTCTGCCCACCTTAAATACTCCTGTGGTAAAGAGTTTAAACCCACGACAGCCTCGGTCCAAGCCGAGTCGCAGGCTCAGGCAGACGGGGAGCTGAGCAGCTCCCTTCCTCCCCTCCTCGTCCGGACCTCCGTCCCGCCGCTCGCTGTTCTTTGTAGCGCAATGTGGTTTCAGGGCTCGTCAAAAACTTCTGCACGTGCTTGCAAACTCCGTAAGCTTTGCTAACAGTCCTCCACAGCTCGCCAGCTTCGTACAAAACCAAACCTTCCAGCCACAGGTTCTGCTGCGTTTCGCGCTTCCCCGGTGTTTACCGGTTGGATGGGACCCCGGGAGGTCGCCTCCAGCCTCCTGCCTAAAGCACGGGCGACACCGAAGGCGGAGCCGGTTGCTCAGGGCATCGTTCGTTAGGGTCTCGAAAAACTTCCAAGGACAGAAACAGGAAACACCTTGAAAGCTGAACGTGCCAACGTTCCCTGACTGAACATACTCCGACAGAATAAACTGACCCAGCAAACTGCAGGAGTCAACCATCGACGCAAACAACAAACACAGACTTCGCTGCTCAGACACAGTTACCTGCGAATTCACGGCGGAGGACAGAACACGTTGAAGTCTATCCTTTCTTTTGACATTTTCCCATCTCTAACTCTTAGGTACGTTTTGTTACTACTTCTCCCCTAAAAAAAAGTGAAGCGATCACATGCTATCAGGAATTAACCTAAACAAAACTTTAGCTTCCCTGCACATCAGTCACTAGTGTATTTTTATGTTAGAAAAAGGCAGCACCTAACTTCTTAATATTCTAAACTTACCCAGCATACATCTAATTGCTCGCACTGGGCACAAGCTCCAGCGTTGCTTAATACAGGACAGACGCCTGCGAACAGGACAGTCTGCTGGAAGGAGCCGCTCCTAGACGGACTCATCGTCCCCCAATATGACAGAACACATTTCTGCTGCTTTGACTCTTGAGAAAAAGATGCACTATTCAACTGAAAAAGCAAAATTCTGATCTCTGACAAGTATCTCAAGTTTTCATTAAAAAACCCAAACCTTTAGTGTACATCGGTAACAGAAACAATAAAAATACCACTATGCAGACATATACAAAAAAACCCCTGAGGGTCACTAAATCTCAGTCACTTTGTAACAAGAGAGTTGGAAGTCAGAGGAGCTAGGTATTATACAAACAGTGCGGTCAGCAAAAACCCGGGGTCTGTTTTTTTTTTTTAAACATTTTTTGTTGTTTTCAATGCACTAAGGCACCAGGAAGTCACAGTTAGGCCAATAAGATCTTCCATGCGACATTCAAACCCGATACACTTACCATGTATTAAACAGACGTGAACATAGGATCAAAGTGCAATAGCTTGAGGACAGCACTCTTGAGCCAGTAGCAGCACGGAAAAGTGAGTTGGAGAAGGAAGGAGGAAGGAAGGGAGCCCTCGCTTCAGATCGGATGGGGGGGTAGAAAGACTGACTGTGGGTAGTAGAAATCCACACTGCTTGTACACAACCACCAACGCAAAAACAAACCCCAACCAGTGACACCGAGAGTCACGTCCCTTTGAAGACTTGTTTCTCCATCACTCCAGAACTACTTTAAAAAGGCAGCTTTCTTTTACCTCCTAAGAATAGCTGAAATATTTCAAAGGCTCCCATAACCAACAAGATCGTTTTTGAAGACACGGAGGGAACAAAGACGGGGGTTTACAACAGGAAGGAACTGCCAACTCTCTTTAATAGTACATCACTCTGTCTAGCAGAGAAGTCAGCAAAGCTCAAACCTTGCCGTATCAATCGAGAATTATACAGCATTTTACAACTTTAAAGCACTGTACAAACATTACTGCAAGGTCGCAGCTCTCAAGCTTTGCTAAACACACAAATTGGTCACACTTTACCACCAGCTGCACGTTCGTTTCCTCTTTTGGTATCTCAGGGCTCTTCAGAGGATTCTTCAGTTTCAGCTTCAGATGATCCCCGCGAGGCCGGGCGCTAACACGGCATCTTCAGTCAACGTCTTGCGCTTCGCACAAAAGCACTTTTTGACAGCGCAACTCTGGGAGGAGTCCTCTTGCAGTCGCCAGTAAATCACACGGAAACCCAAGTGTATTTTATCTTCACCAACACAGTTGGCATTTTCAACGACATTCCAGTAATTTGGAGGTTACTGCCATAGCAAAAAGGTAACGTTTTTTGAGGCAGATACAAAGTTCTAAAACTACTCAGTGTTAAGTTAAATTCACTCACTGCATCAGAAACTTGGTGCCTAATGTATACTTAAAAATGCAACGCGAGCTGTGCCCTGCTCTTCCTAAGGTTCTGCCTTGCAACATACGGTCGTCAGCAACAGTTTCTCTCCCTTCGTGTTCCCTTCGCCCCCAAACCTGAAGACGTGGCGTCCCCTGGTTGGACAGGGATGCCGTGGACAAGGGGACAGCAGAAACCCTCAAAGCTCGCGGCCGCCACAGCCACTCAAAACGAGGCTTATCCAGGATCTCTAGAAAAACATTCGTGCGATTTCTTGAATTGGCATTTAGGATTTGTCAACGAGAAAAAAAACCACAGCTATAAATGCAACAATTTAAACTAACACAGTGTGAAGTCAGCTTCTTACGTTAAAGCAGACAAGACATCATTACTAAGCTACACCTTTCCTGTCCCCTTCAGGTGATGATGCTCGTTTCCTTTTAGTCTCTGAACTTCTGAATCCACCTAGACGACTTACAGGTCTCCATTTTGGCTCTTATTGAAGAGTCAGTGAAGGGTTACAGGCGACAGGCACTGAACTGTCACAGTCCAAAAGAGATTGGTCTTCATCAGAGACCATGGAAGCTCACATTTTGATCAACTCCAAGTCCTGGACTTCATTCCAGACATGACGATATCGCAGGAAAATACAACGTACCATTATTCAGAGCCGGCAGTTGAGACAGAGAACTAGATCTAGTCGCCGAGGTGCTCTCAGACTCATCCAGCCAAGCGCTGCCTGCAGGGTGCCTGCCCAACTCCATTCCATCAGCCGGTGCTTACATACACTGTTAGGCAAATACTCGGAATAGGACAAGAGTATCCTTTTATTCCAACGGAGAAGTTGCACATGTCAGTCCGTTCAAGACCAAGAGACGGTTAGAATTTAAGAGCAACAAAAGCAACACACCTTTCACTTGAACTCTCCATGACCACTGATGCATGAGATAACGTACGCTGCCAAATGACCGTGGCCCTTACAGAACAGACCAAAAGAATACAACCGATAGATCAAGTTGACAACAACACGTTTGCCAAGATCAACATAACCCTAAATGACACCCATGATTTTTTTTTTTAGTGCAGTGCCAGTTTCCAAATATTTGCGAGAAATAGCGAGGCCCCACACTTACGGCTGGACTGGGCACATCCAAAGAAGAGTTAACCACTTGGAATATGTCTGGAATATGTCAACGGGTACATGAATCGGAAAGCCTATACCACTGAAGGGTTCTGTAATAACCCGTGGCTCCCACCCAGGCTCCCACAGCTAGATCTGGTTGATTAGGTAACAGATTCAACAAAACCTGTGAAAGTGACAGTGTATATTTTTAGAAAGGAGGAACTAAGGTTATACTACACCATTTACTGAATTGTTCCACCACTGCTCCGTAAGTTTTACGGCATAAATAAAAAAATGGAGAGGAAAAAAAAATAAATACATTGGCTCCTATGAAGTCAGAAGTGGTTTGGGCTGCATAGTGGAGGGGTGAGAGATGGGGGCAAGGGGCAAAATTTACACACTTTGAGACAAAACAGGAAGCGCCTGCAAAGTAGTCGAGGAGAAAGCCAAGAGTTTAAGTGTCCTCGTTCATATCCTGGCTGTCTGTCCGAGCGATTTTCCGTGGTGGCGCCGAATTCTCACCTTCTATTTCCACTTGCTCTTGATCTCTCTTCTTTGCTGCATTCTGTTGGGACAGAGAAAGCCACAGTGAAACTCTCCAAAGCCTTAGATTCTGGTGGGAGCTAGTGTCGGTAGAACAAATTCTTGTTTGTAAAAGTTTCCAGATGGAATATAGTGCCGTGATGACCTAACTGACACACTGGAACAAACACTGAAGAGGATTTTGCCCAAAGCCGAAAGGTGCTCCTTCTAGATTGCTCTTCAAATTTGAGGGTGGGACTAAAACACCAATCATTGATCTCAGCACCTTTTATTTATAGATCTCAAATACTGCATAGGCATGAGTAAGAGCCTCTTTCCCACTGCTCTGAGTCAGTCCCCGAACTTACCAAAATCTCCCAAAGCCTTCTGCCACATACAAATACTTTCTTTTCAGCTTCAAGGTTCCTTATAATTTTGCCTCTCTCCACATTCTTCCGCAACCTCTGCTCTGCCCATGATTACACTCACTGCTTCGACGTCTCCGCTCCTAAGCCATCGCCTTGTTCTGAGTACTCCCAACCCAGGTACCCCAGCTTCCTAGTCTCAAACGCTAGCTAGAGCATACTAATTTGTGCGTTCCTCGTACGAGAACTCAGATTTTGTACCCAAGGTACTCACACAGCCTCATTAGTGCATTCAGACTCTGCACAACCTCATCCGCCTTCTCCTAACGGTCCTGGGAGGTAAGAGCAGCTTTACCCTAGCTGTAGACGCTGAGGCACAGGGAGACCAATTTGCCAAGGTCACAAAGGAAAACTGCAGTAAGTGGGAGATGTAACTGCAGTCTCCCAAGTTCTAGACTAAACACTGAGTTACCGTCCCTTAAATTGAAAGGGAAGAAAAAGTTGTGGGGTTTTTGTTTGGTTTTTTTTAAAGCAGCATTGTGCAGAGACAGGGCCTCCTTACGCTATCTTTTGCTGAAGTGCAGTTTGCACTTTCTTTTAATTAATCTTCAATATTTTGATTGTGATCAATATTCAGCTCAATTAGCCCGAGTCAGCAAATCAAGACAAAATGTTAATATTAAGAAAACACAACCATACCTTTTTGTCCCACTGCTGATGTAAATAACGCAAAAGTATATTTGTCTTTTCTGTTACTATGACTGCCAAAAAAAAAAAAAAAAAAAAAAGAGAGAGAGAAAAACATACTGAGGTCAGTTTAAAGATGACTTTTAAAATGGTGCAGCAATCGCCACATTACTTCACACACTTTTTAATGAAAGGACAGTATGCAGGAACACCAATCACTTAATAAGGATGGAGGAAAAGCACAAAACCCAGTAACTGGACATGCACTGCTAATCACTGTGGTGACAGTTCAATAGTATCACCTGATCTGAAGATTAAAATAAGGGACATTATGTGTACGCCAGTTTTTTAGTATTAGAACAGAATAAAGTTATTAAAAAACCTCAAACTTTAGCGGGGCAGACTTACTTTGTTCGGATGGATATTCTCTCGTGGGAAGATATACCGATGGTCTTCTATTCTGTAGAAGAATTAGAACAGTTGCAGAACAAAGACAGCAAAAAGGTGATTTTTAACTCAACCACAGCTAAACCAACCAAAAGGCCCTCATTAACGCGGGCTACAAATGCATTGTGATATTCTGCCCTGTTAGGTGACACTGCGCGGCTACAGCTTTTTAAAACACACATGTAAGGAAGAAGGTCCATTTTTCCTGTGTTCTTCAGGGCGTAAGACTATTACTAAAGAACGTATATATAAAGAAAGCACCACAGATGTGGTTTGGCTGATGTGATGACACATTCCTCACCAAAGCAGGCAGGAAGTTTTCCTTGCCAATCTCAACTCATAAACTATCAGCTGTGATCATACATGTTTTTTAAGAAACAAAATACTAATTTCAAGTTTAGTTCCCTCCAGCAACCTTTGAGCCGTGCAAGAAAACCTTCCCCCAAAGCACCAGGATGTGGCAATACTTACTGATGCTTTACATACAGAATCCGCATGGAATCTGCTGAAGTTGCTTTTGTTGTAGACCGGTAATCCTTTCAAAAAATCTGCCTAAAAAGACACAGAATACAAACAAAGAAGTAGGTGAGGAATGAAAGAGTGATATTCTGGTTGCTGTTTGCTTTCTGCCGATTCTTGAAGGAGTCGCTCAGGTCATTAAGATAAACAACTGCAGGAATTGAAGGATGCTGCCAGGTCCCGGCTAGCGAGATGGCTGTTGGATACTGAACCCCGCCCAAAACTGTTTCTGTAAAGTAAGCCAGCCCCCAGCTTCTGCATTTGGCTCGTTATATCCCCAAAGTTCAGTAATTCAGTTAGAAAGATGCTAATTAAAAACCTTTTGGCATATAGGTGATTAAAGAGAAGTATCTGTCCAGCTGGGTGAGCTCTGACAGAAGGAAGATTTGCACCATGCAGATACAAACACCACTGACGTAGCAGACCAGAATTCACAGCAATGTACCAGCACAAATCACGACATCACACGAGAAACTCTGCCACAGCTACGCTGACGTCTGAAGTCCTTGAATATTACACCCTCTCAATCTAGTTGCTCTTTCGCCTTCCCAGTTAACATTCTTTGTCACAGACCAAGGCTGGTTCCGCAGAGCAACGAAAGCCCACGCGGCCTCAAAAGCCCAATCCTTACCGCACGCTTATCAGCCTGGCCCAACTTTTCCTTTTTTTGGAAGGATCACATCCCTACAGGCGTCAAGGCTACTGGTACATCAAAAAAAAAAAAAACAAACAAACAAACCCAAAAAACCACCCCAAGTTTTGATGGAAGTGGTTAGATCTCCACTCACGACAAAACTGTTGATCCCACAGGCCAGCAAAGCTATTTGCTAAACAGCCGCGGGAACCCTGCAGAGCCCTCCCAGTTTAATTAAGCCGTAGCAGCGTGAAACAGGAATTTCCTTCTCCAGAGTGAAAAAGGAGGGCGGGAGGAGAACGTTACCGGGGTCAGGAGAAAACGGAGCTTACAAGTGTGTTGGAGCCTCTCTATTCACAGCAGAGACAAAGGAAGATGCCCAGCAACGTCTTTAAAGTAAAGAGAAAATGGGTAATAAATGTAAGGTGTACTTGTGTGATAAGCAGAGGAGAGGGAGGCCCTGAGACGGTCCTTTCTAAGTCATTAGATCAGCTACCTGTATCATAATGATACTTGCTTAAAGATTCAAAGCCTGTTCTGCTGAACACTGAAGGATTCTACTGCAGGACATACATCACCTTGTTTATAAGCCATTTTAAAAAGGACAGTAAAGCAGCAGATGAGAAGTAATTTAATTTCAGTGTTGGAAGCAACACATAAATGGACACTACTGCCACAAAACTGCTAGGTTGGAAGACGTTGTTTTCATTTAAATAGAAGCCATTATTTTTATTAACGCTGCATCGTTAATTCAAAGCAAAGAGCTATAATTAGCCAAACCAGAAAATATTATTCATACTTTTGTTCTTAAAAAGAACTCTACTGACATTCTAGTTTCCACGTTCAACTCTTCCCATATGCCTGGTTTTAGAAATCATCTTGTTAAAATACTGGACTTGGGGTTCAAACAGCAGATTTCAAATTCCTCTTGCCCATCTGAACCCCCACAGGACCAACACTATTTCCCTGTGCCTTCACTGCCTTCGGTCGCGAGTTCTCCAGGACAGAGTCCATCGCTCGCTCGTCTGCGTAATGTCCGTACCACGGCTGAGCTCAGGAATTAAGGCAGGATCTTCCAGCTCTGCTATAACAGAAGCCCTCGGTTTCGGACCGCGTTGTGCTCTCAAGCTCACCGCTTCCCACGCCTGCCCCGATGGATTTCTCTGTTCATCTGTTCTCACTGACTTCCACAGTCGGCACCGATTAGCGAACACATACACTACCCAAGGACACCCAGGCTGAAAAGGATGGGGAACCCTTTAACGACTCCTGAAGGCACAGCCAGACACAGTTTTCTCCACATAGCCCAGATTTACTAATTATATTATTCTGTTTAGAAGGATTGAGGATCTTTAAAAATATCCCGTTACATTTCAAAGCATCTCACCTTCCCATTGTCATAAAAAGCCTGCAAATTTAATGCAAAGTAACCTGCTCCGCTACACCAGCCTAATCCAGAGCGAGACAGACACGTCCTTGATTTCTTTTATTGCAAGAAAAGCCTGACAACTACTTGGCTTTATCACTACTTATAAGAATGGAAAATAACTGCTCTTATTTAGGAGCACACAACTTCAAGTACCTCTTCAATAAGCTACAGCTCACCCCAAGTCCCTCACGCTAGACTATTCCCTACTTTCCAGCTGGGGATTTGGTCTAGCAGAGCCCACGTTTCCCTGGAAAGAGGCTGGGCGAGCGGGATCACAGCTCTCACCAGGGATTCCGCAGTCTTTTAAAGGACTTTTACAGCAGGGTGAGTTACATCCAGTAAGTTGCAAAAACACTGTTAAAATTATCAGTCAAAATGCAATTTAAATGGCGAATGTGGTCGTCCCCCCCCCGTGATATAAACAACTGAAGCAGGACATATACCAGCTAAGTGCAGACTCGCAAGCAGGAAGGTTACTACACTCAGAGAACACCTGGAGACCTCAGCTCTAACAGCCACGAGCGTCCCTGGCTCTCGGCCACCACCTTTCCTTCTCTCAGGCCAGCAGTCGCTTGGGTGGACCAGCTCCAGCCCCGCCAGCAGTGCCCACTGCTCAGCCAGAACTTAGCTAGAGCAGAACAACAGGGACACTAAAACGACGAGAGACAGACATTTCTCCAACCTAGGCTCCAGCCAGCACGTTAAGCACTCGTCACCAGTTCAACTGAAAAGTCTGGTTGTCAGTGACACAGACTGTCCCTCCGATAATGATAATCCTGCTGCATACGTGCACATTTCAGTGGCTATCTGCTGATACGATCTCAGAGATCACCAAAAAGGCCCCCTCGAAGGAATTGCCTGGAGTCATATTCCTGGATATTCAGAATTAGACAATACTCCAAGTGCAGTGATCCTTATCTTCTCCAAGGGCACCAGATAAATAAGCCCCAGTAGGTCACTGCCATGTTTACACACCTATAGCACAAGGCACATCAAGTCATACCTCCCGTATAATGTCACGAGGAAACGCTCCCCCTGTGTGCCTTCTGCCACTCTTTAACCAAGGAAAGCGTACCCCGGCCAAGCTAGCGAAGCTGATGGAACATCCTGTGTGGAAGTGAAAAACCAGCACCTGAACAGATGCCTCATTTCCTCTGGGGAAAGGCAAACTCAAAAAACCAACAAACAAGCACGATTAAGCAACCTCAGAAGACAACACTGGTTCCTTCTACGATTTGGGAAGTGAGGCAGAGATAAGATGCATCTACTTTTCCTGTGTCAACAAGGGTGCTCAGCTTCCTAGGAAGATGATAGTCCTCATCTAAAAGCAGAAAGGTGAAAAAAAAAAAAATATATATATATATGTGCCCCATTCTCAGCTTTTGGAAGGAACTGCAGTAACAACGCTCAGCAACACAAGGCCCAGCACACAGATGCCAAAAACAGGGCTCTGTCCCAGCATGATGCACGCACACGTGGACGTGGGTTAGAGGAAAACCACTAACACGGGCTTGGGAACGGCCACCTAAGCTCTCAGCCACGGCACGCCTGTACACGGAGACCACAGGAGCACCACTGTTTTTCCCTCAGTTAAGGAGTTTGCGGATGGGCAGAAGGAAAACCCTCTTTCTCCAAAAATTATTACGTTGCTACAAAGGGAAGGAGGGAGACTGGAAGCCTCTCGGCTATGACAGCGCCGCCAAACGCTCAGGCACCAGACCAAGTCCCTGTTGCTGCTTAGGGGACACAGAAAGGACTGAACAACCTCTACAGCCCCCTTAGTGCACCCCCCCAGACCTGGGGACGGGGGAGCACCCCGCACCTCGGAGGTGCCCCAATTTCCCCCTTCTGCCTCCCAGCCTTGGGGGTGGAGGAAACGCCCCGCTCCCTGGCAGTGCCCCAGCTGCTGTCAGCCCCCCCATCCCTCGGGGGAGCCCCGGCCCTCCACTGAGCGCTCCAGCCGCGGTGGGGAATAGCCCGTACCCTGAAGTACCACAGTCCCCCCGATCACTAGAAGGGGGGACCCCCCCCCCCCCCCCGCCCCCCCCCCCCCCCCCCCCCCCCCCCCCCCTGCCCC